GCATTCCTCTTTAACAAGACAACAGCATGTAATGCAAATAAATGTAAATAAACCTCACTCTTCATGTTGAAGAGTGAGGTGGGTTCCAAATGGCTGGCTTCCCATTTGTCAATAATGTATGAAAAACATAATGCACAATAAAGTAAAACAAAGAAAACTTAAAAAAATAATACTCACTGATCATAGTAAATCATATCAGAAATATCATCAGGAACCTCACTGTTACAAAAATCTACCTCAGGATAGAAAAATCCACGGTCCCAAATCAACAATTATATTAATATACTATTAATAAAAAAACTCAGTAATACTGCTTCAATTACAATGTGCAAGGAATAAAATATTCAGAAAAGATTGTGCCAAGCAGGTGTGTGCGCGCGCGTATGCACTGCTTAAAACAAAAGTGTAACATTTAGGAAAATCCTCGTTTCCTCAGGAAGGCAGACACATGTAAAAATGAAAATATATCAGTGATTTTTTAATCACAATATGTAAATCGAACAGCTTTGGAGTTTTCTGGAGATGAATATTTTTCTAGGCTAGCAGTTTCCGTTTGCTTCCAGTCTTTGGGCTAAGCTAGGTTAAATACATCCAGGCTCACTGTACTGGACACACAGAGATAAAACTGATATTCCTCATCTCCTTCCTATCTGGCTTATCTGGAGAAGTAAGGAAACAAGAGGATTTGCCAGAAAAGACAAGCTATTACTATAAGGTAATGATAAATTAAAATCAGAAGAACTCCTGTGGACTGTCTGCAGCGCCCCCTGCTGTGCAACATCAGTCTGTCTGTTTGTCTGTCACGTCACCCAACGAAACAGTATCGGCTCCATTTGAAACACTTTGCAATAAAATGAGGTTGTGTGTATATTTCCATTATTTCAGCTCGGTGTGAGGTCACAGGTCCCGCTGTAGTGGCAGTCTGGGGTCTGATGAGTCCCACTAATCCAGCCCTGGCATCACGATACAAACCGCCTTTGTTTTCACTGGAAATCTCAGCCAATCAAATCACACATCTCACTATGTGACTGGCCAGATATGTAGAGGTGTATACGCTCTCCGCCTCCTCATGCAGCAACTTCACTTTTTATAAGGGTAACACCATGACCGCCATCGAGGAGAGATTTTCTGAAAGTGTGTGCTATTATTCCCACCCTGTCCCCTCTCAGTGTCAATAGGCTGTTCATCCAGCCTTCCAGCCAGAAAACACATTGTACAAACTACTACGTTTGAAGCATTTTGAGGCCTTTAAACCATCCAAGCAGTGAATCTGTGTGTAATTATCTCTGCCAGTCAGCTTCCACCACTCCCTGTCGACCAAGTCAGCCGGTGAGTTCCACAGGAAGCTCACGGCTGCACAGCACCTCCCACTGGCGAGCGAGGAGTGAGATCAGCCTCTCTCTGCTGTCGGCCCCCGGAACAAAGATGCACCACTGGACCTCTCCCTCTGCGCCACCACTGGCTCCACCCCCTCTGGATGAGGGCTCCTCCCCTCCAGCAGCAAAGTGGTCCATAGTGAGGTGGCAGAGCAGGTCGGGGCCAGGCAGGTCATCAAACACCAGGGTAAGAGCTTGAGGATATGTCTGGTAGCCCAACAAGACCCGGTCCAGGTCTCGGACCCTCCGAGCCTCACGCAGTTGGTACCGCTCCCTGCAGGAAGACAAGATGATATCACTTCAATCAAACACAAAAACAATCTGACTTATTAATCACATTTTTAAGAAACCAGAGCAGCTTTGCACCAGGTAAAAACCTTTTTATTTTTTATTATTTTGCATTTTATGCAGGTAGAAGAGGGAGCAGAGTGCTGTGCATCTGTTTAATCAGCCTCCCAACTCTGAAGTTGGCTGATCAAGACGTTTTTAAAAGGATCTGTTTCAGCTGCATGCATTAACAGTCATTTTCCTGGTTGAAAAACAGCAAATCAAACCTTTTTGTGTTTTCCTCCTGAACCAGAGCCAGAAAATAATCATAAAAATTGAAACAATTGTAAATGTTTACAGCTGTAGAGGTTGACTTGATTAAAGTTTTCTGACAGACAGAAAAATGCACCTGGACTGGTACATCAAAATCTCATAACTTGCAAGAGAAAATCACCCACCTATAAAAAAAATACAATAAAATAAAATAAAAAGACAGGTGATATGAACACAATGACAAACTGATTGCATAAGTAAAATGAAATGCCAGTTCTTCACAAAGAAAACATTGCACAAAATATTACAAGAGACTATTTAAGGAAATCTGTACACAGCTTGGTGTTTTCTTAATACAGACTAATGCGTGTAAGGTGCTAGTTTTAATGTAGGCCTATTGTAGATTCACTATGTAGCTGTACTACGTAAGAAAATATGAACATCACACTGAGTTATTAGTTAGAAATAAAGATATTCAGTCTCCTGTTTCTGCTCATAGTGAGGGAACAGATGCTCCACCTCTCCATACTGATTTTAATACTGATTTCAGCTGTTTTTTTCCTGAGTGTCCCTTGTTCCACATGTTCCAATGTTCACTGTTTGCTGGCCTGCATTCACATATTTAAAGACCGTAACTGGGGGCGGCTGTGGCTCAGGAGGTAGAGCGGGTCGTTTCCTAACCGGAGGATTAGCGGGTCGATTCCTGGCTTGTCCAGTCAACATGTCGAGGTGTCCTTGAGCAAGACACTGAACCCCCAGTTGCTCCCGGTGATGTCACCCGTGTGTGAGTGCTTGGGAGTGCGAATGGGTGAATGGCCAAATAATGTGAAAGCGCTATGAGTGTGCTGTAAAAGCACAGAAAGGTGCTATACAAGTATAAGACCATTTACCATAAGACCATAACTGAAAACAGTTCTGCCCTTAAGTGACTCACCAGGTTATGTTAAGTGTTTTCAAATGTGGTGATGTGGGAGGGAGGGGCTTCCCGTGTACTCACCTGGAGGGAGGTTCTTTGGCAAAGTCGGGCAGAGGATAGTTGATGTAGTCCTCATCCAACAGGAACACATCAGTGCTGGTCATGATCAGAGTCCTGGGCAGGAGTACAGAAGATGGAGCAGGACCTGAGAGGGCAGCGCCTTGGCTGGGAACACTGCTGGGGATCTGAACCTGGAGGAAAGGAATGAAAAGCAGGTAAACAGAATGATGATTATTTTATAAGGGAGTTTAAAATAGTTAACCTAAACAGAAGCAAATTCAAAGTCTGAAAATAGTAAAATATAAAAAACGTCCACATTTAACAGATACAGAGCAACTTGATCACTGATTTGGAGTTTGTTTCTGTCCACCTGATGAGTCCAATTTTCTGGCTCGGTATCGCTCAGCTTTTGAGACTATAATGTGGTCCATGCAACATCACCTTTAAGTAAGACTAAAATAATAAACATATAGTTGAACTGATACATTTCCAACAATTTCACCAATGATGGAGACATTATGCAGATCATAAAGTGATCAGTGAGTGTGGGTTCAAAAAGCTGAGGTGAGTCATGCAACAAAAGATTGGATCCACTGTTAAGATAAAAATTACTCATTACAGTCATTGTAAATGTTTACTTTAAATTTTTAAGGAGTCTAATTAATACTCTAGCACCTCTAAAGCTAAACTGTATCTCACTGAAAACAGTTCTGCCCTTAAGTGACTCACCAGGTTATGTTAAGTGTTTTCAAATGTGGTGATGTGGGAGGGAGGGGCTTCCCGTGTACTCACCTGGAGGGAGGTTCTTTGGCAAAGTCGGGCAGAGGATAGTTGATGTAGTCCTCATCCAACAGGAACACATCAGTGCTGGTCATGATCAGAGTCCTGGGCAGGAGTACAGAAGATGGAGCAGGACCTGAGAGGGCAGCGCCTTGGCTGGGAACACTGCTGGGGATCTGAACCTGGAGGAAAGGAATGAAAAGCAGGTAAACAGAATGATGATTATTTTATAAGGGAGTTTAAAATAGTTAACCTAAACAGAAGCAAATTCAAAGTCTGAAAATAGTAAAATATAAAAAACGTCCACATTTAACAGATACAGAGCAACTTGATCACTGATTTGGAGTTTGTTTCTGTCCACCTGATGAGTCCAATTTTCTGGCTCGGTATCGCTCAGCTTTTGAGACTATAATGTGGTCCATGCAACATCACCTTTAAGTAAGACTAAAATAATAAACATATAGTTGAACTGATACATTTCCAACAATTTCACCAATGATGGAGACATTATGCAGATCATAAAGTGATCAGTGAGTGTGGGTTCAAAAAGCTGAGGTGAGTCATGCAACAAAAGATTGGATCCACTGTTAAGATAAAAATTACTCATTACAGTCATTGTAAATGTTTACTTTAAATTTTTAAGGAGTCTAATTAATACTCTAGCACCTCTAAAGCTAAACTGTATCTCATCTAAAACAATTTTTATTAGTCAGTGCGGTCGCTGTGTACTGCTTCCTGAAGTCTTGTTCTCACAGTGAGATTACGAGGTTTGTTATCATCATGCCCGCACCAAAGCAAAACCTGAGCTCAGTGTTTATATCTGCCACAACACACTATAGCTGGAGTGCTACACAGTAGTACTGGGTGGACAGACACACTGTTGTTTATCTAGAAACAGCTCTAGCACATGAACTCCCCATAAAATTAGAAGTTACAGAGGAAGATGTTCTCACTTGGAAGACCAGTAGGTACAGCAGGATGTTGAAGGAGTGTGATGACGAGGGCGCTGCGATGGCCAGAGTCTTCCTCTCTGCCACGATGAAGGTCAGGTCTCCCATCTCCTCTTCACTGGGGTAAATAAATTTCACCCTGCTGCTATGGACCAGTTCGTAGTTGTGCATCTTACCTACAGGAGGCGGCAAATTCACATCTGTCACCACCATCAGCTGTACACGGGTCCTGCATTTTAGTCTGTTTTTGGCCTATTCAGTCCAACTCTATGTCAGACAAAACCACTGCATATATTAAACTACAATGAGAAATTTCTCTCACAACTTCCAGTGTTGAGAGTGTAGTACGTGACTGATAAACAGGATGAATTAATGGCTTCAGCTGCATTTGAACACATGTTTGGTCAAAAATGTGGTATTTAAAAAAGTGTTTCATGTTTCAATTTTACAAGTGAAAAGCTTCAGGGATGATGAATACCTCACCCTTGGATAATTTGTACCTTGAAACATCTTCAACAAGACCAGTCTGTTATTAAGCTATGGACTGGAGTGTCCCAGGTAACGCTGTATATGAAATCACTGTATGTGCATTTGAGGTTATTTGGGGTCAAATCATGGTTAAACATTTAATTTGAACACTGAGCTTCCACTCCGATAACCGAATGGTTATGGTGCGGTGCGCCATGTAGGATAAGGATAATCACCTTTATTTGCCAAGTATGTTACACACAAGGAATTCATTTCTGGTACAGAACCGATGGCAGCCATCTGCGGCGCCACCTTGGTAACCATAGGGGGCAACGGGGGGGTTCAGTGTCTTGCCCAAGGACACTTCAACACGTGGACTGCCAGCACTGAACCTTGAACCTTCTGGTTGGGAGACGACCGCTCTACCCACCACACCACTGTCGCCTCCCTAAGTGCGTGACGTTGGCAGAATCCCACCACTGACCTATGTAGCAGATTATCCTCTCTGTCTCTCCTGGTTCCTGTCTGCCCTTCTGCAGCCTCCCAAAAAATAATAAAGCCATAAGCCCCAAAAAATAACAAAAAAAAAAAATACTGAGCTTCCATAAGAATGCTCACCAATTCTTTGGTACATTTGTGTATTATTAACTACAGACGCCACAAAAAAAGATATTAAATGACCTTTTAATGACAGTGTCCCAGCATGGTTACCTGTGTTTGTGTTGGTGAACTGGGAGTAGAAGTCCTGATCTGACGGCTCTGGAGGAGGAAGCTGCTGCTGCTGCAGACTGAGAGTGGACATCAGCTCCTGAAGAAAGACGCCCGTCCCATAACTGTCCCGGCTGAGACAGCACACGATGTGATCGGCCGAATGACCTGCAAACAGACAGAGAGAGAGAGTGGACCCATGGACAGACTGGAGGGCAATAAAAAGTAATATCAGCCTTAAGTAGTAATTCAGTATTTAAACGTGTTTGACCTTTGCAGGCACTGGAGTTGTAGTGTGTGTACGCCCACTAACCTACGACTCTGAAGTACTGGTCAAAGAGTCCCACGTTGACAGACAGCAGCTCAGGCAGTCTGATGGACAGACAGCAGCACAAGCAGATGTCTGGATCCCCAGAGTCCATAATGTCTAACACTAACAGACAGATTGCGAGAGGGAGGTGATTAAAGGGAGATTTAACATCATCACTGGCCCTGAAATGCAACCGTCCCAACTTTTTTTGGAATGTGTTGCAGGCATCAGAGTTGAAGTGAGTGTTTATTCAGAACAAAGAATAAAACTGATATATTAAATAATGTGCCGCTGTGTTGTTTTCAATCTAATACGGGACACAGATGATTTACACATCGCTATTTTCAGTTTTAATTTTACATACCGCCCCAACTTTTTCTGATTTGGGATTGTAGAACAGTTTGTGTCTCAAACCATCAGATAAATGAGGTGGAACAAAAAATACAACATTTGCCTTCAGAGTGCAGTCAAACAGAAGAATAAAGATTCTCAAAATGAAAAGAAGTACTTCAAACACATACTTAAATGCACAACTTGAGTAAGGCAACTAGTATTTGGAGTGTAGCAATTGCAGCAGTAGTAGTAAAGTAAAAGTGACTCCTATTACTTTATTTGATTTTACCAGTCAGTCCAGTTCATCCTACCTGAGTGGTGACCGAGTGTGGAGGCAGTGTCTTCCAACAGGAAGTACATTGCGTCAGTGGAGAGCAGCAGAAAGCAGGTGATTTCAGCCTCTGGAGATTTGTAGAGAACCACAGAAAGCCACAAGACCTGTCTCACCTCCTCCACCTCAGACTGATGCAAGTGGTTCATAAAAACAAAGTTTTAAAAAAAGAAGACTTGCTAAATTTCTCTCTGGACATTAACACTTCCTTAAGAACTCTACTAACATTAAAAGTGGCAGCATTTCTCTCTGAAACATGAAGGCAGAGGAGCATGTTAACATTATTTCTGTGTCTGGAGAGACCATTGTTTAATTAATTAAGTGATTATTCAACCACTAAGAAGTAATCAGAATAAACATTGAAGTAATTTCTCAAGCAAAAACTGTAAAACTTTCCAGGCTCCATTTTATAATATGCTGGTTTTCTTGGTCTCTGTAATAGTAAACTGACTGTTTGGGTTTGGGACTGGCACTGAGCACTTCTGATTGACATTTTTTCTGTTTGCTGACTTGCTAGAGCCAAAAAGACACTAAATTAATCAAGAAAATCATTATATTAATTATGGATGTCTGATTTGTCTATGTTAAAGTAGACACACAGGGAGCATAGGAACAAAACTCTGTGTGTGTGTGTGTGTGTGTGTGTGTGTGTGTGTGTGTGTGTGTGTGTGTGTGTGGCCTACCAGTGCTATGTATTTCTGGAAATAGGCCTGCAACTGCTGTCCTCCAAGCCCAGCCAACAACTTCAGTCCTGGGGAGAGACTTGGGATGAGGTGGGGGGGTGGATGGTTCTCCTCTACCTGCAGATGGGCGGTGTGCCAGCTGAGGAAGAAAGCAGAAGGCAAAGAAAGAGAAGAAAGGAAAAAAAAATTTTTTTAAAACATCAATTTTGACTTTTCTTTTTATTTACCACCCAACATACAGCTGATACTGCTACATCTCTAATAAGATAAATTCATACAATAATGACAAAACTATCTACAAAACTATTCCAGCAATTAAATCACAGATTCCTTGACATCCATCAGTATTTACTCATGGTTTGATTTAGATAAATAAATATCTTGTACTCACTGATAAATGAGCACCCTGATATCAATAGTACATAGTGTTTACAGTAGTTGTACAGTGATAAACAGGGACACACTGTATGGTCTTAAAGAACATCCATGAGATTAGTAAGAACAATAAATCTGTAGTTGAGTGGAGAGCAAATGATCTATGTCAGACTAAATAGAAGTGCTTTGGAAGTCTACCTGCTGGAGCTGTGTGATTTCCTGGTACTGGTACAACAGCACTTGTCTCTGGATCCATAATGATCTGAGAACACAATAACAAGAAGGTGTCAGAGAAGGTCGTGATACTGCGAGAAGAGACAATGAGGGGTCAAACTAAATGACACTATCAGGTGATGCAAGGCCTGAGGGAGGCCTAGCTGGTCTTCACCTTGGGTATGCTGTCCTTGGTGTGGACAGGGTCTGCAGGGTCGGGGCAGGGCTGCCATCTTCAACCCCTCCAGAGAAACTCTCCGCTGGCTCAGCTCCCCCAGGAAGGAGGTCCTGTCCTGGGCCAGAGGGAAAATCAGCAGCAGTCTCTGACCCCCCAGCAGCAGCTCCACAGAGTGACACTTCCTGGACATGACATGATAGTTAAAACACAAACAATGAAAAATAATTAAAATCTAATTATTGGTGTAAAGAACAGAATCAATCAGTAAACCTCATCATGTAAAAAAATGATGATTAAACAAATGCGCATGTTAATGATACACCAATAAATTCAATCTAAAGTCAGTCCTAATGTGAAATGTAAATGTTAAAGGAGTCTAAAGACTTTTGAAAATGAAAATGATAAAAAGAAAAATTGGCACTGATCTCCCAAACTGATTGCTGACACTTCAGGTACATTAGATAAATATTAATAAAACAGTTAGACCCTCCATTCGCCCATCCGGTCTCTGTACCTGTGGTGGTGTTTTGGGTTGGGACAGGAGGTGATGCTGGTTCTGTCCTCAACCTGAGATGCTCTCTCTCGGGGGTGAAGCAGCACAGAGCCAAGAGGCATGCGGACTAGCCTGCACCAGGAGGAGTGATGAAGGTCAGCATTGCTTCGCTGTCTTTCTGCCAGCTCTCTGAAGTCCATCTTCAGCACCCAGAGGTGCCGATGGGTGAGGAACAGGAGAGAAGGGAGGCTGCACTCTTCCTTCTGGGATAAGATGTCCGACAAATGGGGGTGGGTGACTGGGGCTGAGGAGGATGAGGGAAGGAGGTGGGCAAGGTAGCCTTCTTGTGCTCCTTGACTCTCTTCCATCTCCCAGGAGTTGATGAGTGAGCGGGGGAGGAACTGAGAAGATGTGGGGGCCTCAGGGTCGGTCTGAGAATCTGCTGCCTGGAAACACAACAGGTGCTCAGACAACGACAGACTCCAAACTGAGTTATGCTTCATGATCATTATTTTCACACCGTGTAATATTATACATGCTTTGAATTGATACAATATAAATGAAAGCTGTGTTAAATAAGTTGAATTTTATTATTTAATTGTGTTCGTTTTATGACTCTCCATGTGAAATGGTTTACTGTCTGCAAATCAAATGTCACATTTTGCACAATCCTGCACAGGGGAGAAAGCTGTCCTATTTAAAACTCCTAACATGGAGGACATACAACACTACATACTGTATGTAATAATAATAAAATTCACCATGCTAAAAACAAAAATTTCAACAAAGATTGTCCTTTATATTTAGAGACGCTGAATGGCTCATGTGCTGCCCTCTGACCTGGATCAACGTCTTCAGCTCATTCCTCGTCTGCCGGAGCTCCTCAGCCTCGGAGAAAATGTACCAACGAGTCAGACCAGACTGAAGCTCGAAGGCAAGACAGGAGTCAGGGAGTTCAGCTCGGGAGGTGAGCGTGAGCTCAGAGTAAGGCAGCAGGAGGTCCATCTGCAGGTCGGACAGCACCTCTAGAATCTGCTCCTGGTCTGAGGACAGGAAAACAGACCACTCTTAACAAAGTCATTACTGCACAACAGCTCAATCATACATCATATTATTCACTGTATATAGACTGCACATAATTATTATTTTACTATAGATTAATTTGCCAATTATTATTGTTTCATCAATAAAATGTCAAAGGTGTCATTCTCATATGTTTTGTTCAACCCACCTTGTAAAATAAAATATTAAGTTAACATCTAATAAAGTAAAGAAAGACATTAAATCATGAGACCCAAGATGCTGCAACTAGTGAATCTTTAACACTTTTCCTAGAGAAATTAGTGATTAATTAAATAATAAAATAGTGGCCAATTAATGTCAATTGACTAATGAACTCAGTACAATTTAGTTTGATGGAAGCTGACTTTGTGCTTACCTGCATTCTGATTGGTCCATGTGAAATCATGAGATAGATAGAGCAGGCCCAAGAGTCGGTCTGTCAGCACCAGACACCCCTCCTTCTGCTCCACCTCCTCCTTCACCTGAAGACAGTAGCACCACAGAACCCTGCTGATCTGCACCTTTTCCTCCTCTTCACACAGCTCCCCCCAGTGGACATTGGGCTCCTCTGCAGGAGGAGCAGCAAGTGAAGTAGGGGAGGAGCAGACCGACTCCTCCACAGAGTCATCAAGGCCCATCTCAAAGTAGCCGTCCCTGGAGCCTGGACTGGAATAATGAGCATATAACAGGTGAATCATGAATCATCAGTCTGTAAATCAAATGTCTAATTTGCTTTGTGATTATTAGTAAATGTCAGTAAATTTTTAAACAAGACCTCCACAGCATATGATCATAAACAGTCCTTCTCT